CAGGATGGGAATTTAACCCCTTGAAGGAGACCCCAGCATCAGGGGAGGTGAAGCACAGCAATGCCAAACCACATTCATAGAAATGCACTGTGAACAAGGCGCGCTTCCACCCTGCATGCATGGTGCTCACATCCTGGCAGCTCTGCTATGTTCTCCCAGTCCTCCCAGCACCTCATCCCTTCCACCTAAGTGGAGAGCTCGGGTGTTGTTATAGCAACCTCAGCGTGGTGAAGTCTCCAGAGGGAAGGTTTATAGGGAGAGGCAATCTCTTTTATTAGACTGGCTGATTTAGCTGAGAGAGAAAAAGGAAACAAACAGAATTATAAGTAATGGAGAGAGCAGCATGAAGCTCCTCAGCCACCTTATTTCCATGCTTCTCTTCTAATTCCCAGCCCTGACATAACCCTTCTGCTGTGCCTTCTTCCAGCACACAGAATCATTAAGGTTGGAAAAGACCCCCAAGATCACCCAGTCCCACGGCACCATGTCCACTGACCACATCCCTCTGTGCCCCATCTCCATGGTTCTTGAACACCTCCAGGGACAGTGACCCCACAGCCTCCCTGGGCAGATGTGCCACTGCATCACTGCTCTGAGTTGTTGCTGTTCCTAATAATCTGAACCTCCTCTGGAGCAAGTTAAAGCCATTACCTTTCATCCTATCGCTGTTACCTGGGAGCAGAGGCAGATCCTCACATCACCATCACCTCCTTTCAGGGCATTGTAGAGCAATAAGGTCTCTGTCCCCTGAGCCTCAGCACAGCCGGCAGGCAGCAGCTAAAGGCTCAGTCTTTGATAGATAGAAAGTTTCATCAAGAACTTTCACCTTGTTCACAGAAACATAAGGGAGGGCGACATTATGACCTAGATGGGAGGATTGCACAGCACTGCATCCCCTCCTCCTCCCAAGCACTGCATGCAGGATGTATGGCACTGTCCTGCCCTGCTGCCATCTAATCAGATCACACTGGCTCTGATTACATTCAGGGAGCTGATAAATAGCACATCTGAAAGCCACTCATCCTCCTCAGCCAAAGTAGCTCTCGTTGTAGGGAGTGAATTAAAGCCAAGAATATAGAGAGTTCTTTTTTTTTTTATGATTATTTTCATTTTTGCTGCTGTGGAACTTCAATTTTGGGGAAGCTGGAGGCACAATGCAAGGAGCCTGCGCAGAGCTATTTCCATTCAGGAGCAGAGCTATCACTGCAGGTCCAACTCGGCATCCCTAGAGGAGCCCATAGCCAGGTTGAAAGGGGCTCTGTGCAGCCTGACCTGGTGGGAGTGCATAGCCCACAGCAGGAGGTTGAATCTCAGCGATGTTTAAGGTTCCTTCCAGCCTCAGCCATTGTCTGATTGCCTAATAAACTGAAAGTAAAACACAAAACCCACTTCAGAGTTTGTCTAGAATTTCTCATCAGATCCAGTTGGAGTATGTTGGCAAAGTACAGCAGGGGCAGAACCACAGTGGAGTCAAAGCTCGGGGCAGAGCAGACAGTAAATTATATCTTCGCCTGCTGGGACATAGAGCTATACAGGCATTTCAGGTGGTTTACTCCTCCTGCATGGTAGGCCAGCCAGAGTAAGCAGTGTGCACAAAAGACTGCTCTTTTCCTCACTGCAACCTCCTAATTTCCACCTTCTGGAGTAGCAAATAGCATTTGCAAAAATAAATTTAAGCTTTAAACAAGGTCTGGAGCCAGGGGAATTAATTGGGAAATGATTGAAGGCCATGGGATGGTTTTACATGGCTTCGTTTAAGGGTGGAAGATTGCACACAACTGGCCAGCAGAGACACATGTGTCCAGCTGTTGTGCAGATGGGGTTTCTCCCAGTCAGACAATCGCTGCTGGGTGGGGTTGAGCCATGATCCCATCATATTGCTAGTGAGGCAAAACCCTGCATCACAAGTGCCCCTAGAAGCACGGGGACAGTGGAAGCAAGAGGCAAGACCTTGGCTCCACCTGCTGCTATGCATTTTGCTGTGAGAATAATAAGACAAAACACCTCACATCGCATGGCGTTTCTCCTTTTCTCCCCCCAGCACCTGCTCATTAATGAACACTCTCCATCCACATCAAGCAGGGCTGGTGCAGCGTTGAACTTCGGGTGCCTTTTCAGTGTCGTAGCTTGGTTAATAATTACCGTCATGACTCACTCCACTCCATGCTGCTGGAGCACCATTAAGAGAATTGACAGCACAAATAACAGAAGCATTAAGCCTAATGATGGTGTGAGTGTTACCCTGCTGAAGTGCTGCCGGTATCATGAGAAAAGAGCCTTTCCTTTTAGCATGTGACCCCCCAAGGGGGCCTTTTCCACCCCATCCCACACAGCAGCTCATGCCTCTTTTGGGATGCGACAGTACCCACCTGCATTTCTGAACATCCCCGTTCCAGTTGGGCAAACTCTCAGAATCCACAGTTTCAGTGCATTCCTGTAGACTGACACCCAAGGATGGCCCTCTTTATCCCATCTCCCTCCACCTGGCTCATCCAAAAGTGCCCCATTTTCACCACTTTCCTGACTTTCTCTCCCTTGTATAGCATCAGGGGATGCCCAGCCCCTCGTGGATGGTGGAATTTCAAACCCTGGATGCTTCTGCCCCCAGCACCTTCACCTTCAGACAAAAGCCCAATGCTTTTGAATTAGTTTTCATAGAATCATTAACTTTAGGGAAGACCACTAAGATCATCCAGTCCAACAGTAAACCCATCACCACTGTGGCTGCTGACCACATCCCCCAGTGCCACATCTGCACATTTCTTGAATGCCTCCAGGGATGGTGACCCCACCACCTCCCTGGGCAGCCTGTTCTCAAGGGCTGCACTCACCTTTCTGATGGCAGTGTTTCAATCCAGCAGTGCAAGCAGAACTGTAAATCTTCCAGAAGAGCCCTGCCCACACCTGAGGAGCAGAAGTCAGCTGTCACTCAGTTGCAACACAACCAAAATCACACCAGTAATGGAATTCCCCAAAATACCCCTATTCTTTTCTCTTCAAAGGAAAATTCAATTTTTTATTTATATATATTTTTTTTTAATCAATGCCCCTTCTGTGCCTTCATTGCCACGAATTCCCTAATCTTGTTATTCTTGGGCTTTGGAAAAGAGTAATCACCCGAGCCATGAAATCAAAGACAACAGCAGCACTTCCAGGGAGATGACTGGAGTCAAAGGAATTAATTCTCCCAGCAGACAGCTCCTCTCTAGAACGAATGTGAGTTTAAGAATCAAAGACATGGTTTTAATGAGTCTGCATGAACGTATGCATGGCCCAGAGCCAAATTCAGTGTTATGCTACAGAAATCATCATTTCTCAGGAAAACGAAGAGAGCAGGGTCATCCAGTGAGCACGCTGCTCCTGCAGAAGGAACCCATCTCTGTTCTTACACAATATCTCGGAGACAATCTCCATCAAATATCCATCAGGCCAGGGAGCTGCACGCATAGCTGTGTTCTCTGGCACAGCAAGTGAATACCAGAAATCCAGACAAGGATTTCAGCAGGAGAGATCTCCCCGAAAGGGCACAGCGTGCCGTAAGCTGGACAGTCACCCACGTTCCATGTTTGAGGATCACTCTGATGCACACTGACAGCATCTGGCAGTTGGAGAGAAGCAGCCTTTCAGCCTCTGTGCTGAGCACGTTTGCTGTGGATGCACTGGAGACTAATGACATAAAAGCTCAGTTATATATTTCTTTTAAGAGGGAATTTGCAAATACAAATTTCACATTTTCATGGATATTTCTGCATTTTCATGGATTATTTTTTTTTTTTCTTCTTGGATTTGCCTAGGGGAAAAAAAAGAGCCCCATTTCTAATCCCGGAAGGTTTGTAATTTCACTGTGAGTTCTGCAAAAGAATGGCAGTTCATGAGTATTTATGGAGCAATGGGCTGCAGAGGGAGGCAAGGGCTTCAGAGAACAGCAGACGGCCCACAGGAGAGAAAGATGGAGGGAGACAGTCAGCTCAGCCCTATCACAGAGAGGCTCCAGGAAATCTGCAACAGATCTAAAATGTTTCAGAGACAGGCATTTCCTGGAGGTATCCTGGACAAAAGACATTGCTGGCACAAGGATAACAAAAAATAAAATACAAATAAATTTGGGCTCAGAACTGGAAAAGCTTAGTTGTAGTCTATGTAATGGTTCTAGGTTATACTTCCAGGTAGAGAGAGAAGCTCAGGGTTGGGGTTGGCAATGGGGAGGTGGCAAGAATGCTGCAGGTCCTGGAGAGAACCAGCAGATGATCAGCAAACCCTTCTCTGTGCTTTTCTCTCTGGTGCTACTTTAAGAAAAGAAAAACCCTTACAGGAAGTTCTTTCTAAAGGTCAAAAAAAATCCCCTCTGAAGGGAGCAGGTTTGCATTTTACACACATTGTCAGCGGAGCCTTCTTAGCCAGCTCATTTCCCAGGTCTTTAACCAGCCAGCCTGCCTGGAGCAGAGAGATTTCTTCTCGTGTCAAATCACTTGGCTGCACATGGGAGAGAAGTCCTTTCACAGGGAGAATTTGGAAAACTCTGAAATCTTCTTTATTCCCACATGCTGTCCCTCACTGCCTCATCTCCAGGACACCACGTTGGGTTAAGCCCAGAAGGAGCACAGAAAGCTGACAGCACCCATCCTACACACACACACACACACACACATTCTAACCCTTCCCCATAACACAACTTAGACATTTATAATCAGGCCTGGAAAGGATCCCTGGAGCTGTTCAAGAATCATGAGGATGCAACACTGAGGGACATGGTCAGTGGCCATGGTGGGGATGGGTTGGACTGGGTGATCTTAGAGCTCTTTTCCATTCTACCCCATTGCCAGAGAAGCTGAATTCAGAGCAGAGGTAACATGAACTCCTAAGGATGCCCTTGTCTTGAAGTCAGTTGCCCAGGCTGGAGAATCAAGCAGGACAGCATTGTGCACAATAAAAACAAAGAAGCTACCTTAGGGCACACCCATAAGGTACCAACAGACTGGAAGAGCAGGCAAGCCAAATGCTTAATGAGCGCAATTACTTTAATGAGTCTGTCTTTTCCAAAATCCACATTGCACATATATAAATAGTATTCTCCTTTTTAAAAAACTCTCACAATAGAAACTGTGACTTGGAGCACAAGAAAGCCTCCCTGTCTCCTGCTACACAAGAAGGAGGCACAAATTCACAATGACATCAGTACAGGCAATCACAGCTACAAACAGACATGGAAATCCCAAAAAGATATCAAAAGGAAAAAGCAGAGCTTCCATGCTTTGGAAAGCAGCAGGTGTTCCTGTGTGGGATCTGCCATTGTTTTATCCATCACTGATAGCATTTCATGGTGCAACCACAATAAGGAGCAGTACACATACTCCAGACTCAGTTTTCAAGCCTCCAATGAGTAGAAGAGGAATTTGCATGGTTACCACTTGATTTTACTACTTTTTGCCTTCATGTGCCCAAAGAAAAAGCACTGCAGTAACTGTATTCATGTGGGCAATGCTTCTGAAGGACCTTCAGAGCTTTGTATGCTATTCCAAAATGCTAGTGAGCCAGCAACCTAGGAGCCAAACCTGGACCAACAAGTTATTCTGCTTATTTCCTATAGCAATCACCAGCAGGTGAAAACCACTGAAGCCTTTAGTTCAGTGCTACAGTTCCCACAAGCCAAACAGAAGTCAGTGCTGGAAACAGAGATCACCTGTGAAGACAAGCTCTGAAGGAAATCATGCAGAAATCAGATCAGGCAGACCCCCCCACCTTCAAGCAGTCTGCAGATTCAGGTGTGCTGATACCAACCCTCCTGCTTCCCAATGTTGCTCATCAGTATAGCAGCTCTAGAGAGCTGGGAGCAGCTGTTTTCCCTCCTGCACAGGCAGGCAGCTGGGCGCACAGCAATTAAATGATTTGCCCAGGACCTGGAGGCTAAAGCATAGATTTGAGCCTACATCTTCCCAGGCATGAATCCTTCTGCTTCTGCTCCCCCTAGCCAGCAGGCTAAAAATCACGAGTGTAATTCCATGATGTAGAAGAAACTGACAGTGGCAGCAAACTGTTGGAGCATTCAAGCCAGAGTTCTCACTTCCCTCTTGTAGAAGAATGAAATTCAGCCATCAGCTCCATGATGGCTCCCCAGAGCAACCAGGACCCCATGCTTGGAATTCACCACAGCTTCTCTGTGATCCCCATTTGCCATCACTTATCCCAACACAACAGTCCGACACATCCCAACACATACGGCCCTTGCTGTCTGCTTTGCAGCTCTGTTGGTGGCCCAGGAGAACCTTGGGCACATCACAGCCTTCCCTTCTCCTCTAGCATCTTCCCTTCAGCCCCTCATATACCTATGTGCTGGCCTCAGGCTCAGTCTAGCAAAGCACTGATTCTGGGCTGAATGAGTTGCTGGTCAAGCTGAGAAGCATTGCCTCCCTCTAACAGCAAGTGATGTGAAGTACCATAGGAAACAGATGCCTGAAAGAAATGAGATAAAGACTCCAGAAAAATCTCAGTGCATTGGGGAGGCATAAGCTGTTTGCTGGCCCTTCTAATCCAGAAGCTTGGGGATTCAAGGGGGAGATGTAGGGTGCATGCTGAAAATAAAACAAGAACAGGGATCTGCACAGCCTCTCATTAAGTTGTGCAACTCCATGCTGCAGGAATGTGGATGATACAGTTTGACAGAAGGAATCCGTTCAGAGCTGCTTAATACAAGGCATCACTTCCAGCTCAAGAAGCTCTAAGCAATTATGTGTTGGAGGCTGGGGAGCACTTTAGACAAGATACACTCAAAAATCCATCCTCCTGCTGCTGCCTCCCAGAGGTCTCCTTCCTCACTGGTCCCACATCTCATCAAATACATGAATTTTTATGAAAAAATGAGGTCCATTAGCACAGCACTTCTTACCAGGGAAGAATACAACAGCAATAATCAGCACCCTGTGCACAGCTCAGAGTCTTTCTGAGCTGAAGGTACCTTTGTGTTGAGTGGCTCTTCAAGAATTCTCTTCTGCAAACTCATCCCATTGACCTGCAAGCCCAGGAGCACCTTCAGCAGCCAGTTTCCTGCAGCAAGGAGTTCCATACCTGGTTGCTCACTGCATGCAGTAGATCTGGCAGCCTCCTCAGGAAAGAAGATACCATCAGCATCTTCCTGCACAGCTCTACTAAAACCCATTCAGCAATTTGTCCCCTGCTCCAAGCTGATGTGTCCCATCAGGCCCAACTTCCATAAAATGATGGGAAGGAAGATGCCTCCCCCAGCACTCAGGGCACAAGCATTGCCCAAAGATTTCATTTGCAGGGCCCTCCCAATCTCCGTTTACCCCAGGAGTTTGTTACCAAGGATTCAGCAATGCTGACCTTCTAAGATACACCCTGCATTGAGCAGCATCACTGCAATCCAGCATGATCAAAACAAGGAAAATGCCAATTCTAGCAGTGATCCCTATGATTGTCTCTTATAACAGATGGTAAAGTCACCCAAACGAAGGAAAAATGGGGCAAGGATTTCCAAAGGAAGGGAGACTGCTTCACACTGCTTTTTCAATAGTAAACACATACATTATGTCCCTACTGCCACAAAGCCTGGCCCTAAAATGCTGAAATCTTCTTGTGACCGAGTGGCAGCAAGATGTAATTTACTGCATTCCTGCTTCTATTATATCCAAGAATTGCTTCACTTTTGAAGAGAAAGAGCTGTCATTTGTCAGCCCCGTGTAGCCATCACATTGCTGCCTCCTGCTAGAGGAATTATTTCATCCTTGTCTTCCAATCTCTTCTCCCAAAAGCCAGTCTTTCCCAGGAACTGTCCAGTTCACCCTTTCACAGTGACATCATTAGCAGTTTTCTTCACAAAGCCAACTAGGGGGCATGTTCCTATCAGCAAAAAATCTGGAATTGTCATGCTGTTTCATCCCTCTTCCTTCAATTGATTCAGAGAAGCCTGTCTGCCTGCTGGCTTGTCACAAGCACTTTCCCCCCAAACCTCTGACCAGTGGTAGACCTCAGATTCCAGCCCACCCATCACAGCATCTGTCTGGCTGCTAACAAAATTCTGCCTGGGTTTAGGATGTGGCCAGGTCCCTGGGCAGGTTGAGCTGTATTGCCTCTCCTCCTGGTGTGTACTTGGCCACTGGCCCATTGCCTTCCATGGTGAAGAGTTTGCAAGTCTTCGCGTTCTCATGGACTGGTGTGGACTTTTTTGAGGAGATGGGGGAATTTGTGGGGCTCAGCTGAACAGCAGTGGTATCCTGCACCGTGTGCTCGCTAGTTTCAATTTCAAAGGCAGTGTTGCCAGGTTTGATGAGACCAATGTTGGAACCCGGTTTGGATTTTCTGGCCCCGTGAGCAGGCGGCCTCCGGCTGCAGATGCAGCAGGCACCAAAGAACGTGAAGGCCACGACCAGCAAGATGGGTCCAATGATGATGGGAGGGTTGTTCATGGGGAGGAAGGTCCCAAATGCAAATGCTCCCACTAGGGTGATGTTGATCCCTGCCAGCATGATGCAAAGTCCACACGCACAGCAGAGGGCAGGGGAGGGGAGGCCCTGAGGTCGTGTCTTTTTCTGGCTGGGTTTCTGGGTCAAAGAGGCGCTGCTCTTTTCACTGAACATGTTGCGGTGAGTCTTGGAGGTCACTTCAGTCCTTACAGGGTATATACAATGCTGAGAAGGATATTTCTGGTCTTCTGCTCCTTTGAAATCACTACAGAGGAAGAAAAAGAGCATGCAACTGTTACAGCAAGAGACCAAGAGCAACTTTCCACCACCAGCTCTTCTCCATGTTTGCTGGTAGCAACAACAAAGCACAAATCCAAACCTGCTCTCAAATCTGTGCTCTCCCTGACCCAATGGCTTTAGCCATCCATGTGGATGAAGTCCAACTGAATCTAAGCACATGATGGCCCACAGCCAGGGCTTTGGCTCGGCCTCACACTGCTCATCATCACCCAGACAACACCTGTCCAAAATAGCAAACCCCAGTACTGCTGGGAACAGCCCTCACCACAGTGTGAATGCAATATACTAGAGGAGGATAAGAGTACCAAGTTACAACAAGAAGCGGGGTTGTTGCTCCATCATTCAGTTGTCCTGTATTCAGGCCAGTATTCTGGCTAGTGGAGAATAAAAAGCACCAGAAGGCAATTCAGGACATTCCAAATTGCCCAGCATACACAGCTTGAGTCAACTATTTAAGAGAACCTGAGTTAATGGTTAAATGTGTAGCAAGACTAACTCCATCTACAGTCACAGAAGTCAATGATGAGGTGGAAAAATGAATTTGTGTCCCTAGGGCATTTGTGGGGCTTAGTCTGCTAGACTTCTTTTTCTACCTTGCATCACACTGCATTGGGTGTGATCACAGGAGATGATGCAGAAGGGGTCAGGTAGTCTGTTCAGCAAGTGTAAAACCAAACTGATGCAGTTTTCCTGCAGGAGCACCACCATCTCCTGGATGCAGGATCATAGCAAATGAGAAAGTTAAGTTAGAAGAGAACTTGCATAGGAATCTACCCTTTCCCAGGCAGGAATACATGTCCTTCACTGACAACAGCAGTTTGTCCATGGAAGAGGTTATTGGATATGATGGGAGCTGGTTTTGAGTTCACTGAACTTTGCTGGGAAGCCAAATTTTCAGAAGCCAAATTGCCAGCAGTTTGCTGGTGATGCCTTTGATTTTACAGGCAGGAGGGCAATTCTCATCCCAGCCTGATTGCAAACAACAACAGTCTGCTCTCTCATCTCTCTCATACTTCCCCTGCCTGGTTCCTTAGCTTCTTTTCTCCTTTGCTGTCAAGTCACATTCATAAAGACTGCAGAGAGAAAACTGATACCACACAGGTTTCTAATGCAAGAGCCCAAAAATCACTGTTGTGTTATTAACACTCTGCAGCCACTACATTAAAATACAAACAAACAAATCACCAGTAACAGAAAAATGAATAAGGAAATAGAAACCCTTACCCACCAACATGCCAGTGGGATCAGCCAGCCATTTCCAGCACGTTTCCCAGGGAATCACATTTTCCCATACCTCCAGCTGAGGCAGAGCTCTCTGCTGCTGTCTCCAGTGCCATATCTCATTGCCTCTGCTCAGGCTTTCGTTTAGAGCTGAATGGAAATGCAGCAGTGAACTTTCAGTGAAGTTCCTGCTCAATGAAACATCACCTGGAGCTGACAAGGATGGGCACACTGAAGGATGCAGCTCCTCCTCATCTGGGGAAGAGTCTGCAGGCAAAAACGTTTCAGAAGTGAAGATGTGTGAGAGTGGAAAGGCATTTTCTTCATCAGACAGGCTAACAACGTCTGTGCTTCTCCAGCAGCATCCTTTTATTCTGCTTGGGAACCTCAGCACATGGCTGTGAGCTAGAGCACCATTTTTGCCCCTTTCACCAGCAAGGCAGCTTCTGTTTAAGCATCCACAAACTTCAAATCATATCACAGGTTCACTCCACAGGGCTTGCTTTCTCCTGGCTCCTGTGAGAATATCCCTGATCCCAGGTGAGCTATCTGGGCTCTAATGGGATGGGTAAAAAACACCCATCACACAGCAGCTGTCACCTGTAGCTACTCCAAAGGGATCGTGCTGGTTTCTGGCTGCTATCAAGGCTGCGTTGATAGCAACCAGCACTGCCCTTAACAGCCCAGTTCCTCTGCCTGGCCATGTGTGTTGATGGCTGTGGTTGAGTTCTGTCACCTTCTAGAGCTCAGATTTGATACCGTGGGGAGAGGGTGTCCCCCCCCCCTCTCTCCCCCATCTCCTATACAGTCACAGGAACACACTGATGGGGATTTGCCCTCACTGTTATCTTTCCAAAGGAAATCTGGCAGCTTTTACCTTCCTGCTTCCACTTCAGCCAAATCAACCAGCTCCAAAATAAACAGCTTTCTTTCCATTATCCTGTCCAGACTGATGAACTTCTTTTCCTTTAGGAAAAGTTCTTTTGGGAACTGTGTGAAACAAGTTCTTTCTTATCAGTTAGAGTCTGGGGTTCTACTCCAAACATCTCAGCTTGAAATGCATTGGTGGCAAGCATTGCTATTGGGGAGAGTGAAATAGAAAAAGGAAAAAAGATGAGGAAAAAAAAAAAAAAAGCTGCATATCAAAACCAGAAATCCAAAGGATAGAGTGATTCCTTCTAGGGGAATATTCATCCCTCCCTATATCCTCATGGGGCCAAACAGAAGGTTTTATTCATAGCTCTGCGAGTTCCTAGAGCTCTGAGGACATTCTGACATACCCAGGCAGCATTTTATGACTATCGTTTAAAGCCACACCAGCAGCACGCTCGGTTCCCTCTTAGCTGTAGCAAAGGGGATGGAGCTGTCATCTTTCCACCACAGCAGAACAGACCCCCAAGGAGTCCCCTTTCCAAAGGGGCAGCGAAGGAGCGGCTGTGAGCAGCACACAGAAATCCCAGTCAGACAGCTCCAGCCGCCCCCTGCGCACACAGACTCACGAACACAAGCAGGAAAAGCCTTTAGGGGAAGCACGGGACTTTTCCCTGGGCAAAGCGCTCGGGAAAGTCCCCTTGCGGTGCCACGGGGAGCCGCGGTGCATGGGAGCTGGGATGGTTACCTGGAGGCGCCCCGGAGGTCCCATTCAGCCTTCAGATAGCAGCGCCCAAGCCAAAGCGGGTCCCGGCGAGGCCGGGATGAGGACGGCAGGTTCTCCCATGACCGCCTTCCTTCTCTTCCTCCAGAGCTGTGGAAACTTTGCTGGATGAGAACTCAGCAGGTGCCGTACGAGCCCGGCAGCATCTTCCCGCTTCCCTCCGTCCAGCCGAGCTGATGCTCTCCTTCTTGGTCAGGAGGGGCTCAGCCGCAGCTCCGCATCGTCGCTGCCTCCCCTTCCTCTCCAGCCCCGCCCGCTGTCCGGCAACCTCCCCGCCTCTCCCCCTGCCTCCTTTTTATTCTCCTTTTCCTACTTGAAAGCTGCAGCCTCCGCCCCTCCAGCCGCCGGAGGTGCCCGAAGCAGAACAGCCCCTTTTCCTCAGCAGAGGAAGGCTGCACCCCGCTAGGGGCAGCCCCGAGCCCCGGTGCGCGGCTCGCAGCCGTCCTGCAAAGATTTGGGAACGGCTGTGCTCGCTGCGCGGGGACTTAAATGCTAAAGGCTGGAAGCGCGCTTTGCGAATGGAACAAATACCTGGTGTTAGGTGCTGAGCATAGTGGAGGGATGCGGGGCTAATTCCTGGCTTGGGGGGAACGCAGAAGGGTGCTGAGCCTCTGAGAGGTGGAAATACTCAGGGTGTAAGAGCTGGTGAATTCAAAGAGCATCTTCGCGGTAACACGGCTATCAGACCTTGTGTACACCCAAAGATACTGCTGGCATCTTTCTGCAAATATGCTAGACCCTGCTGCAAGCACAGCCAACGTCTTGGCTCCCACATTAATAAACTAGCCAGCCTGCAGAGCTGGCACCCACAGAAGGAAGGAAGGCTGCTTGCTGTGAGCTGCACAGAGCATAGGTTGTCCTTCCTCAGCTGTGCAGACACTCACATGCCCTCATCTGTGCCCACACTGCTGTAAGCAGCCTGGATGCTGCCAGCAGCAACTCAACAAAGGCTCTTCTTCAGCTTATTGCAGAAAAAAACCTACCCAAATCGAACATGATTCATTCTCTCCTTTTTAAAATGATTGCTTTCATGCTCAAGAGAGAGAGAGAAGGAAAGATAGCACAGAGATGGAGAAAAACAAAGGTCAAAGGAGAAACTGCTGAAGAGGAACAAACACACACTTCTCTTTGTTCTCCAGGCACTACACCAGCCTGCACGTTCTTAATCAAACAGCATTTTCTTTTGCATCCCATCTCACAGGTTGGCCTTGAAATCTAGGCAAAGACAAGCTTTGCAGAAGCTGGGCTCAGCCCTGCTGAGGTAGGCAGCTCTGCCTTCTCCCTGCCCATGGCAGTGCTGTCAGCATACCCCAGGGGCTTGGCTGAGGGCATTGGGGAACCAGGAGAACAGCGTTGTTCAGACACATTGCCCAGCCTTCTTGAGTGAAACAACAGGGAAAACTAATTACAGACATGCAGCATCTCTTGTAGGCATTCCCTGGCTCTGCAATGCGAGCTTCAGAATGGCTCAGTGCACTCATCCCCAGCAGAAAAGTGATGGACGAGGACACCGCTGCTTGGGCTTTGCTTGGTGCAACTCTGAGAGTCCCTCTTGCAGCAGCACTGTCACTGAGTGTTCACTGACTGTTGCTGGGTGAAAACTGGAGTGTTGAACTCCTGGCACAGCCCCACAGAGCCCCTATGGAAATGGCCCCATAAAATATATCCATTCAAGAGATGGAATAGTATAGTCATATAGAAAGATCCTGGCAGGGTCATTGATTCAAGTCCCCTGCTATCACGTTGTATAACAGCAATCAAAAAGTGCTCAGGCTTCTAATGGGGTCAATTAATAGCAAATGACCTGTGAGCCATTCCCTAATTGCATGAAGCAGTGATGAAGCAGGCTGCTTCCTCCAGGTTATTGCTGGCTGTTGTGTGACTCTTCATCACACTTTCAACTTAATGGGCCATAAACCCAATAAAAAGAGGAAGACTTTGCAGAAATGTGACATATATAGGGCTGCACTGAAGGAACAGTTCTGAGTTTCACATATGTGGCCCTCACAACCTGGCAGGCTGCATTCGTGTGATTAAAACAACAGCTAATTCAAGAACTAAAATAAAAGCTAGATTTCTCACTGGTATAAATCAGAACAGATCCACTGCTTTGCAGAGCTCTGGTAGCTCATGAGCATTCATCATTTGCCAGGGGCTTTGCCAGTCTGATTTTGGGCTTACCAGGAAGCAGGAGCCCTGCCATGCTCAGCTCCCAGCCCTCTGCAGAATGCAGATCTATATGTCTGGAGATGCGGCTTGTTCTCATTTTCTGCTGAATTCCAACATCAAGTCAGAAGTTTATGAATGAGAGGCACAATTTGCCTGCTTGCTTTTTCCCATTGTTGTTTCCTGAGCGTGGGTTTACACTGAAATCTGCCTTGAGTGCTCCTGCACCCAGAAAGACTGCCAGGAAGTTAGCACTGCGGCAGGATCCAGCTCTGGCTCATGGCTTAGTGCCCCTGAAATCCAGAAAAGGGCAAGGCCAATTTCTGCAGCAGAGTTCACCTGTCTGTAACATCATGTATAGAAAGAAGGAGGCAAAAATAAAGCAGATCAGTGTTTGTCATTCTCAGAGGCTGCTGTGAAATTGCTGTGCAGGAGATTTAAACCCCCAGAGGAGGCAGCTCTGTGTACAGTGTGTAATTAAAATCACAGGACTCTGTCGTGGACTACAACAGCATTAGTGTGTTCAGAGCCAGCAGGGAGCCACAACTGGACCTGTCAGACACAGAAGACACGTGCAGCTCTGGGCTTACAAGGTCTCTACGTTTGTGAGCGCTGGCAATGGCCAAAAGGGGAAAACTTGCTCTTGGCTTGCCATGGTCCTTGTTCTCTAAGGCTCTGATATTCCAGCCACTAAGGCAGAACAATAAGGAAGGTACATGTGTAGTCTGGTCCCATCTCACCAGGGATGAAGCTTTTGTTGTTCCTGAATAGAAGAGACTTGCCAGCCATACCCCATGCGTGGTGTCCCCCCAGGACACTCACTGCAGCTCAGCAGGGATAGCTTATACTTCCACTCTGCTCTTCCCATGAGCTTTCTCATCATGCACACCACTGTCTCCACGACCTACAGCAGCTGGACCTGCTGTTCCCAAATCTCTTTGCAGATGTTCCCATCCCCACACCAAAGCCCTTCAGAGCAGCGGTCTCTTTTGTTTGTCTGTGTGTTGCACTGTGTAGTGTGGGGCCCTCATCCCAAGTTTCTGATTGCTAATGCAATTCAAGTGCTTCATTATGGGCTCCAGAGCAGTGGCTTCAAATCCCCTCTCTGCAACTGAAAGGAGTCTTTCTCTCTTCAGGCAAAGTAAAAAAAAAAAAAGGCTTTATAGAATCATGGAATCACGAGGGTTAGAAAAGACCCTCTAAGATCCAGTCCAACCATCCACCTACCACTAATATTGCCCATTAGCCCATGTACCACATCTACAATGTCTTCCAGATATTCAAACCAATTTCTCCTTCCTAAGAAGACCTCTGGAAATGCTGAGAGCTGAAGAAAATCAGCTGGCAGCATCCTTGTTGGGGAAACATCTGTGCTAGCAACTCTTCTGTTACACAAACAGTACAGTAATTTTTAATGAAGCTTTCTCAAACAGGAGGAAATTAGCAGGTCACTTATCAGCAAGGGGCAAATATTTGTAATTAGCTTTCAGAGAGATTATGTCTCCTGTGTTTAATTCTCAAAGGTTCCCACTGGTAAACTAATTAACAAGAAGCTTCATTGGAAGAGCTGGCCTGAAGTTGTGTGGTTTTATTATCCCAGCAGGCAGTTTGCTCTCCTGTTGCAGGTGGCTGTCTCTACTGGGCAGAGCAGGCCAGTGAGGAGTTGATCAGGAAGAGGCAAAAAAGACCAGAAATGATGGTTCAGTGGCTTTCCTGTTCAAGCTGTTGTGAATACGAAGCCCAAAAACAGATTTAATGTAGCTCTGTGGCCCAACAAGAAGAGACTTCATTTCCATCTCTTATATCTGCCTGATGGTCAGCTCGCAGCACACCAGACCACAAGAGACACTAATTATCATCAGCATAATTCACAGTACTCCAGCCAGTTTTGATTCCTGAACAACATAGCTTTGAGGAATGTCAGGCTGAACGTTGTCAACAGATGGTGTTTCTCTCTGGAGAAGAGTCTTGTCCTTAATCAGACCAACATTATTTAGGGCAATGATGCCCTTGTTTCTCATCCAACTTTTTTAACCCAACCTCTGAGGCTCTACACATCTACTGTGATGAGTAAGACCTGGAAATACAGCCAATGCTGAAAAGCAGTTCATGGTCCCTCCAAGGTGTTTTACACCTTGGACAAAGGTGAGATGTCTTACAAGTTTTTCTGCCTTGCAAAATCTGCTGGGTCTCTTGTGGTTCAATCTGCAGTACGACAGCAGAAAGCTTCGCAAGTCTTTAACTCTTCAGAACAGAGAAACCAAACTCCTATAAAAATTAGAGGTCAGAATGGGGATTCCTCACTTGTCCTTATGTGAAACTCTGGAAACCTTTTCAAAGCATATCGTATTTCCTTAAAAGCAGGGTGCATAAAAAGAAAGCCAGGGAGACTATTTGGATTATTCTGTGCTTTAGACAGATCCCACATCTCTTCATGGAAGAGGCTGCAGTGATTTGAGTGAACTGTGAACAAGGTCTGCAGGATGCTGCCTTGTGAATATTTATCCTCTGGTAGAGAGCAGATGTCCACGGACACCATATGGGATATCAAGTTACAACATGGCACAGCACAGATCATTAATCACACCCTTAAATGAACTGATTATAAGGTCATCACGTCAAACATTTCCTAGCATCATTGTGCTTGCACAAGTTTTATTTTACATAGAGCCTGGGGAAGCATCTGGTTAAAGAACTTGACTCTGACCCATTAGCTCTGCCACAAGTCACTCTCATAATACATATAATCTTTCTGTTTCTCAGTTCCTACACCACCACCTCAATGTAATCATGAAACACAGCAAACAGGTTCCCTTCTCCCTTAAAGTGTCTGCTGTCTGGATGAATTCAGCTCTCAAACAGAACAGATCAGAAATGCTGTGTTTATCTATGGCAGACATAGCCACACAAGTGCCCCACATCAGACCCCATAACTACCCACTTGTACTTAGGGAGCAACTGCTTCCCACAGGTTTGAGATCAACTGTATATAATAAACATCTCTTTGCCTTCAAGAGCATCACCCAGAGGGAGAAAAGATCCCATGACAGCTATGAACAGTTAAGAGAAAGCATTACCCACCCACTGCACTTGGGTAGACAACTGGTGGGGCGAGA